ATATATATAATAATAATAATAATAATAATAATAATAATAATAATAATAATAATAATAATAATAATAATAATAATAATAATAATAATAATAATAATAATAATAATAATAATAATAATAATAATAATAATAATAGTAATAATAATAATAAAATAACAATAATAATAATAATAATAATAATAGTAATAAATGACGACGATTTTGTTTAATTGATATTGGTTGATGTTTATTAATAGATGATATTTGATGATAAATTTTATATTATCCTTTCTTTCTTTCTTCTTTTTAAACTATACGAAATTCTTCGTTCAAAATTTTCTTCCCTTTCTTTTTTCCATTTCTTTCCCATACATTATTTGCTCGGAAGATCTCATTTATGGGGAAATATAATATTATCATTGATGATATTCATTATTTTTTTAACTAATGACAATTATAATTTCGGATTAAATATAGTTGACAGCTATTATTCCCAATGTTTTCATCTCGCACACAGTTATACTACAAAGTGATGCTAGATAAATCAGCATACGCGTTATTTCAATTAGATCACGATGGTTAGAAAAATTTAATTATTCCGGCAAAATAATTAATCATAAATAATCGTTTATATATATATATATTGTTATATTAACTGTATATTTCATGAAATACTTTCATTTTCTTCATTTCTGATTATTTACTTCGTGCCACTTACGATATTGCAAAATTTCATTTCACGATTGAATGATTTGTTATGCTGATGACAAGATGAAAAATTTGTTTGACCCTTCCTTCACAATCACTTCAGCTAGTAGATTTAAGTTATCGCATTCTTAGCAAGTAAATTTATTTCATAGCAATTTTAAATTTTATCAATTTGCTTATTGTCCATTAATCACCCTCTTCTAGCAATTATCACTTATCAAACTCTTTCACAAATTTGCACATTAACGTCAATTTTTTTTGATTTATTTGCATGTAAATGAAAATTTCCCTTCCTGTTGATGCAATTTTTGTTTTCTATAAAACTCTATTTAAAAGTATTTTTTGTACTTCAAAAAATTTCAAAAAATTTGCAAAATTTTAATTCAAATATTAAATTTGGGAATTTTTTAAATGATTGCATACTTGATCAATTCATTTGATTAGTGTATTCTTTCATATATTATTTTTAAACTTATAAAAACCAGCATTATTATGGTTGAACGGGGAAACAGAGAGAGAGAGAGAAAGAGAGAGAGAAAAAATAATAATAAAAAATGCAATAAATTTTATTTCTCTTCTCATGCATTGTTAGATATGCTTCATTTATTGTTGTTCTAAGATTCATTAAATTCGTAAAATGGACAAACTAACCTTCAAAAGTTATCTTTTGCTATTCCCAAAAAGCAAATCTTAGATCTTTCGATTGAAAATATAATTGAAATTTAATTCGAATAAATTTCGACATTTATAATTATTTAACTTTTTCATCATCAAATTCAATGTTTCGGTAAATTATTTTAATTTATAAAAAGTCAATCATAGTATGATTGAATAGTTATTGGAGAAGAACATAGTATGAATTAAGAAAATATTACACATTGTATTACTAAAAAGTTCTTTTTTTTAAAGTTTAAAGCTACTAAAAGTACTTTTTAAGGTCAATCAAAAATACAAAGTTTTTTTTCTTTTTTTTTCGATAATCCATTGTAAGAACTATTTAATACTTTGAAACGTTATATTCTTACTAGTTGAAAAGATTTAAAAAAAAATATATGTACATGTATTTCATTTGTAAAATTATATTATATCAATTGAAAAGTGAAAATCTAAAAAGCAATACATTTTTTTTTTTAATTTAATGAAGAAATGAATTATTTCTTTTAAAAATATATTATTCAACAAAATTTTTTTTGCCTCAAAAACGAAAATAAAAGAATCAAATATCAGATTGAAAAAGGGAAATGAAAAATGAAAAGATATTATTTTTAAGTATTTATTGCAAAAACTTTCCATTCTTACAAAATTTCACGAAATATAACAAATAACTAATTGAAATAAGTGAAAAAAAAGTTAAAAAAAATAAAATAATAATAACCCTTCGATTATACATAAATCGATTGAGAAGGGAAGAAAAAAAAGGAAAAAAGTGGATGAAAATTTAAGGTTATTTAAAATTTTTGAAATAAATTTTGAAAACTTTGAAAAAGAAAACAACACATTTTACGAAATTTTCACAATAAATGAATAAATTATGCAAAAAATAATGAAACATACATCTTTTTGTTGCCCTTCGAAAACTGATATATTAAATCATAGGCATGGAATTTTCCACTTTTATCTTTATAATCCGATTTTTTTTTCGCTATTAATCCCAGAAAACGTATTTCATTGTAAAATATCAAAATTCCGGATAAAGTCCATGAGTCCTCAAAACTTTTAGATTTTATGAAATAACCGGATACGGTAATGAAAAGTCCTATGCAGTTTCTTTTCCTACTTTTATTTTTTTTTTTTAAAGTGTGTATGATATTGATGTTTCGCTGGAAATGTTGAGGGAAGTAGTGAAAAAGTAATGGTAAAGGTAATGAATGCATAGATAAGTAAAAAGACATTATAATTGACTTAGTTTGTTAATTGATAAGCTTTTACCTTCCAAGTTGGCTACAGGTAATACAGGTAAAAATTCAAGTAATAAATCCACAGTAATAAATGCATTTATAAACAAATTTCGATGCAAATTACTGCTGAAAATGAGGAAAAAGGGAAAAAAAGAAAAAAAGTTTATGCTAGATAATTATCAAATAGCCTTTTATGCTTATTTGTTAAGTACTTATTTGTTAAGCTTTTTGCTTTTATTGATGCGACATTTTATTTCGCTCATTTTAATTTTTTTTTTTTTTCGACACTTCGTTCATAAAATGTGTCTTAGAATTCCTTTATCTTTTCCTTCATTTTTTATTTTTTGCTTCAGCTTTGCTTATCAGAGTTTTGCTTATCAGAAACAGGCATATGGTATGCTTATTGTCTAACAATCTACCGTTAGTTATTTATATTCGTTTATGAAAAGCTTACAGAATTTATTATTTAAGATTATATTGTTTGTTTGGTGTATAAATGGGTAATTCTCACGGATTTCATAATCATCATTTGGCTATTGTTGATTCCAGTGATAACGATATGATGCGTTTATCTCTTCCTTTATCATCATCATCATCATCATCAAAATTACAACAAGTAAGTTTGTTTGATTGTTTCTTTCATTTCTTCTTTTTTTTTCTTTTTCCTAAAATATGGGAATAATATTGCTGCACATACGCTATCAGTAATATTTAAATTATACCAAAAATTTGTTGATATAGAATGCAAAAATATTCGATTAATCTGATTTAGAATTAAAATTAATCAATTCCTTGATTCTTTCCATTAATAAATTCACAAATCATTGAAATCATTTAGTTATCTTTAACTGATGAATTTGCATTGAAACTTGTTATATTAAATTTTGTTTCGTTCTATTCTATTATCATTTCATTCCGTTTTAGATATTTCAGTAATTAATTTTTTCATTTTCATCTATCAGTTAAATTCAATGTATTTTCTCTTTATTGATCAAATTTTATATCGAAATTTGAAAATTACTATTACTTTTACTATTACGATTACCATTACATGGAAAATGTTAACGGATTTCAATATGCAAACATTACTACTAATTATTTTCATGAAAAATAAATTTTAAACAGACTGAACCGGTATTCAAGTAAAGAGATACACTATGTTAATCCGATTAATAATTTCTTTTTTTCAATTCAAATAGCATGATAGTTTTAGTAATAATGATAAAATAAACAGATGATATTTTTGGAAAAAAAGAAATAAAAAAAAATTTTGCAAACAAATTTAAGGTGCCGTAAAAAGAATATAATTTCTAATCCTATCCAAAATCGATGATCATTGCTTCAGTTTTTTCTTTCTTTTTCTTTTTTAAGAAAAATTTTCCTAATCTTAAAGTAACCTTAAAATAAAATAAATCCTACTTATAGATGTTTAAATCTAATAAATATTCCAATCCTTTTATATTCCTGTTTTATAATTTTAAATTCTAATCAATTTTTATGTAATATTAATTCATCATTGGGAAGTAATTCCTTTAAATATACCAAATGAAGTGTGTTTTTTTCCTTATTCAATTTCAAATAATTATTAAAAACTACAAAAAAAAACACTGAATTTTAACTAGTAAAAGAATACGAAGGAAAGAAAAAAAAATTAATCAAACGAAAAATAAAAATGGAAAGGAAAGAAAGTTGGAAAATCGAAGATCAAATTTGTTAATTAGAAATGAAACAAAATAAGTTGCTAATGACAGCGGTGACAGTCACTTAGTTCAACTTATCCATTAGCAAACTTTTTTTTTTGTTGTTTTTCATAAGATTTTCCATTTTGTCTTAAAAATATAGCTACAAATCCAAGTTTAACTCTTTTCATTTCTTATGTTGACAGCTTCTTTTTGTTGTTTTATCATAAAAAATGCTAACTTTCTTAGTACTGAACAGGTGTATATATTTCGTTCAGTTAATTTATAAATTGTTAATGAAATAAGAAAATGAAATTGAGAAAAAAAATTGGATGAATTATTTCGAAAAAATATAAAAATCTTAGAATGAAATAATTCTTTACTTTTTCATATTTACGTGATTTATACATTTTTACTTTTTCATCCTACGCTAATTCATTTTCATTAATTAATTTATTTGCGAGAAAAATGAAGGAAGATGAAGTTATAATTCGTTTAAATATTGAAGAAAATTTCTTTTCATTGCTCAAAATTTTTATTCCATTTAATTTCATTTTTAATCCTTTTTTTTTCAATTACATAAGGATGACCAATAATGAAATACATACATATATATATATATATATATATATATATATATATATATATATATATATATATATATATATATATATATAT